CCCCGTTATGTTCCTCTCTCTCCCTCTCTCTCTCCTCCTCTGTGTCATCAAACCCAGCTCCTCAACAGCCCAGCAGCAACCTCCTCTCTGAGCTCTCACCACCCACGACTCCTCTTTCTATTCCGACCCGCCGCCGCCACTAACGACCTCCACCACCTCAATCTCCACTGCCAAACAACTTCTCTCTTACTCTCTCTCTTCTCTTTTAGTCCAGAGGTAAATATATATATATATATATATTCAGTTTTGTATTACTTTTTGGTATCATATTTATTGGATTACTAGAAGAAATAACCTCAGATATATATATATATATATATTTTATATTTTGAATTATTTGTTTTTCTATAAGAAGCAAGCAGGCGCAGCTCTCTCTCTCTAACCTTTGAGTCAGTGGCTCCATGGATTACGATGGAGGCAAACTTAAGTCGACCTCCATCAATGGTGTCAAGATGTACAGCATTGCTTCCCAGCAACGCTCTCTCGCCACCTGGCTTGACCCTAAGAAGCGTCGAGCGCTTCGCAAAGATCAAAGTACAACCCTCTTCTTCGCTAATTTCTTCCAGTTATTTAATTTTGTTGTAATGGAGATAACTTTTGTTTATTTTATTTATGCTTTTGTCGACTTTACAGTAACTTCATGTGATTTATTTCTGATTTTGAGGACTTTCGCTTGAATCTTCGCTTAAACCCTAGACTAATATCAACTTGTACTTTTACTGGGATACTTTGATTCTTCTCAGACTAGGTTTTGGGTGCTAATCATTAGGGTGGAATCTGTTAAGGATAAATTGCATACTACAGAGCAATACAATGTTGTTGTTTTAAAAAAATATTTGCTCGAGTTCTGAAGTATACTTTCCCAATAAAACTTATTTAAGGGAATGCATCATAACATATGCTTAATTTCTATGACTCTGATCATTTAAGAGTACAAGCTGACACAAGACTTTTTGGCATCAATTTCATCTAATGGGAGTTCTGTCTTCATTGTTTATTTGTCAGATTATTTGCAAAGGGTGGACTTGATCCAAGACCTGAGATTTGAAACTGCAACTACTAAAATCAAGGCAACTCCTGACGGGGAGTTCGTAATTGCAGCAGGTGCCTTTAAGCTTTACTTTATGTTCTGTGTGGTATGGTAATTTTATTTTCACAATAAAAAGTTAATTCTACTTAAAATGTCTATTTGTGTGTCGTGGGTGTACTCGTATAGAGTAAAAACATTTGAACTTGTACCCACTGTGATTTTTACTATTGAAATTCAGGTATTTACCCACCACAAGTCAAAGTTTATGAGCTGAGGGAACTTTCACTCAAGTTTGAAAGGCACTTGGATTCAGAGATAATTGATTTTGAGGTAGTTCAGTTTTCACCATTTCAATTCATTTCTGATGTAAAATGATATTTGAAATATTTATTGATGGTCCATGGCTGATTTGTGTTCAGCGTCTGTCAGGTTTTTCAGTATTTTATCGGTGAAGTTGCTCCTCTCTAAATAATTTTCATATTTTTGAATTTTCAGTTACAATCGTTAACGTACACTCTTGCTTGCAATTACTTCTTTTTTTCTTTTTCACTTACCCTTAGCTCTTGCAATTTCAGTTAGTCTTTCTTGTAGAGTAAGGATAAGAGCATTTCTAAGGAATGTGATGAAGTTGAAAAAAAAGTTTATTAGTTAATAGATCTTACAAGAGTTTTATGTTTATTAATTAGCAAAGAAAAATGCAATTGCACACCATCTTTTTTCCCCTTGTTCCAATATAGTTTCCTTCTGATTGGTACTGTTTTCTCCTTCCAAAATCCAAAATTTGTTCAAGTTTTGTAGTTGGTTTATAACTTAAGTGCCAATATTATAATTTGGATATCATCATTTCTTGTTTGCTCCTTAAAGGTGCCAATGTTATGCTGTATTTTCAATATGTTCTCATGGAACTTAAAATATTACTGACTCAACTTTTCGTTACACATTCAGGTTTTGGCTGGTGATTATTCAAAGCTTGCATTTTTATGTGCTGATCGTTCCGTTTATCTGCATGCAAAATATGGAAAACATTACAGTGTGCGAATTCCAAGGTTACTCTTTATACATTGTTTATGTTAATGGCCATGAATGGAAATAGTGTTTAAACCATTTGGTTGCTTTATTAAACTTTGAACTCTATGATTCATTATGTACTGTGGTTACTCTTTTCTATTTCTGTTCCTTTTGGCTGTTATGTATTATTGGGTTGTTTGGTTAGAGAGTATACTGACGGATATTTGAGGATGTGAGGGGCGATGTGGTGGTTTATTTGTTGGAGAGGATTTGTTTTTGGGCATCTCCTTGGGTATTCATGTCATCAGAGTTTTGGGAGAGCTTATTTTCTGTTATTTTTTTCAGAGATTGGAACACTGTTGTTTCTGAATGCCTCGGTTGTTGTATTAGATTCAATTTCCTATAAAAACAAAGACAAAACAAGAGGGAAAATTGGATACAGAATGAGTAACTTTATGCGTGTATGTGGATATATATATAAAAGGGGAGTTTACATCTGCTTGCCTGCGTGTGTAAATGTATTTTTGAATCATTTTCAACCTATAATACACCACAAAATGACAGCGCCCTTTATTGTATCAATAAAAATATGAAATGATGTTGTTTTCACACATTTATTATTTACAATTGGGCCCGCAATAATTCAGAATCTTCTCCCTTTTGGGGCGTCATGCTTCCACCATCTCTAACATTGAATGAGTTGATTGAATCACCAACCCATTAAAAAACCACCAACCTCTTAGAAATGTGGAAAGGTAAGTAACTAAATACATAACCTGGAGGGGCACTATATCTCTTTTCTGAATTCTGTTTTCTATTTTTTCTTGAGTATTTGTTGACCCTCTTTCTCTCTAATCAAATCATATTTTTTCCCCTTTAATGTTACCCACGTTAAGAGTTTTCATTAAATTGTTTTCTAAAACTATATGGCACCAATACAGTAATGAAATACTTGAGCAACTACATTACTTTAGAACTAAAGTTTAGTACCTCTAGCATTTACCCGAGTCGCTTTGTTTTAGCCCTCTTTTGCAATGTAGGAATTAAACTTTTATCCTCACATTTCGAAAATTTATTTCCATTATGTAAAAAGATAAAATAATAAAATAACTTAATTTATTCACAATTAGAATTATGTTTATAATTTAAAAGATAGTCAAGATTATATAACTTGTGTAATTTAGATTCAGTTTTATCTAGTTTGTAATTTAGATTAATACTTGCACAATGCATGGGTTGTAGCTTGAATAAGTTTGATATTCTTTCTGCAATGAGTTTATTGAACTTGTGTATACAGAATGGGACGGGACATTGCGTATGATTGCTGGTCTTGTGACTTGCTTTGTGCTGCCTCTTCCCCAGAATTGTACAGGATTAATCTGGAACAGGTTTTATTGCTTAACTGGAATTTTCTATTTAATCTCCTTTAATTCATAGGTATGTTGATAATGATTTTGACTTGTTTGCAGGGGCGGTTTCTCTCTTCCCTGAGCACACAATCAGCGGCACTAAATGTAGTTTCTCGGAGGTTGCTTGTTGATCTTTTTTTTTTTACTAGTTTAGTTTCTTTTGCTTCTTTAGTTATCAGATATATGTAGGATTTCATTATATTTGGTAATTTTTGGTTAACTATCTAAGCGTAAGGAGATTTTCTATTAAATTTCAGCCAGCTTCACGGTCTAGTTGCTTGTGGTGGTGAGGATGGTGCTGTGGAATGTTTTGACTTCAGGACGAAATCCTCAGTTGGTAGGATTAATGCTGTGGCACCTGCTGGTGACATTGACCAGGTAACAGTCCTTTGATCTATTTGTTTTGAGTAAATATTTGTTAATGAAGACAGGAAGAAGTCTAATTGGTTGCCACAATGTACTCAATGTCATGGATTAAGATGTGTGGAAGAATTATGGCATGCAACCTCGGTTTGAGCTGAAGTACCTTGCTGTATAAAATGCTATTTTAATTGGCAAATCCATCACCCTTTGAAGTTCAAATTATTTTCAAATACTATGTTGGTCAGCTGTAGGATATGCATGTGTCTATTGTGGTTGTCTGGATAATTTGGCCATGATACAAATGCCAATTTGTTTCCTATGCTTTTGAAAGATGTAACTATGGGTATGTTTGGTAGTATGGTTTTACAAGTTCAGCAGATATCACGCTGACCAACCTTGTTGATTTTGACGTACTTGAAACTGTAGAGTTATACCCCAAAAAAAAAAAAGAACTCACCAATCCAAACCAATAACCATCAGTTTGAATTGGTTTTGTATCTTGGTTTTAGGTGGTAAAAAAAGAATCTTTCAGTTTTGTTCTATTTCACCTAGAAAACAGCAGACCTTTTTATTTTATTTTTATATTCATGAAAATTTCAAAAAGACTGTGTTATCAATCACATTGCTCAAATTAAAGTTAATTCAAAACTAGTTCAAATCCAAGAGTTTTAGATTCCATAATGTCAATGTTTAACCACAAGGCCTTGTTGTGGTAGTTTGACGAGCACAGTGAAAATGAGGGCCTTATGACCTTCTTAGCATCAGTTTTCCTCTTTCATTTTTTATATTGTCTCAATTGTTCCTTATCTTTTTTGAAAATGGAAATAAAAGAAGTGGGTTGAATGATCTGGCTGGTTCATCAGTTCAGTCACAGATGAATGTCAGGGGAATAAAGTTGTATGTTGGATTCCTGTGAATGATGATCCTTTCTCATCAACTATTAATCTGACACAATTATCCTTAATCTGGCTGCCTCCTGGATTTGCAGGAGGTCACTGCATTGGAATTTGATGAAAAAACGGGTTTTCTAATGGCTGTTGGAAGCAGTGCAGGGAAGGTATGATGTCATTTTTCTTTTCGCTAGTAAAAAAATCTGTAATTTGTATATTTTTTATTTGCTGATATAGCTGTGATCTCATTTTAGTTATGTGTGTTATCAGAACTAGGCACCAATTTTTTTTTTTATTGTCAACCATGCAATAATTGTAGTTTTCGTCAATTTTTGATTTTCAATTTTAGAAAATTCTCTTGGATTATACACTTGATAGGTACCGTATATCTGTATCTGCATGCATACATTTTACACTTAACAAGCATAAAAATGTTTGAGACAGCCACTTGTTTTCCATGACGGATACATAGAGGGTCAAAATTTAAGGTACTTGACAGGCTCAATTAAGCTAGTGGCTCATGGAAGGGTGACAAATACTGTTTGAAGTGAAAAATGAAACTGCCAGCCAACTTGGGAGCTAATCAAAACTGTTTGTCAAATTATCAACAATTTTGCTGACTTTACTCTTATGGAGAAGTCATGTGAATTGTATTCTTTATGTCAACGAGGGGGGTATTTTAATTGTCGTATTTACGTCCCACTGTTACTGGCACCTTAGTGCGTAATCATTTGTCCAAATAGAAATGGTCTTAACGTGGTGGGGGGATGGTTTTCCCTTGGCTACAATGTTATTAATGAAGGTGGAAACAAGGTTTTTAAAGATATCTAATATAAAAAAAAGAGGTAGTCAAGATAAGAGATAACTGGGATCAACCATCAGGTAGGTGGTGATTTACATGGTTCATTTGGTGATGCAGTAGATTACAGGTTTATGGTCATTTTGTGGAGATTGAGTGAGTGCCTTGTTGGAGGATGTGGTGATTAAAAAAACCCTTTTGGGGTGGTCTCATGAACTTATAACTGAAGAAAAGATAGAGGGATGAGGACTAGGATAAATGGATCTCTTTGGGCAATAATATGTTGTGAATGTAGGCTACACAGAGCTGATTCAAGGGCTTGGAGATTGAATGAACAGGGACTTTCTTTTGAAAATCCCATTTTTAGATATCTTTGTTAGGGATGACAGTCTCAATTTGTGTTCCAGAGTTATAAATGGTCATTTACTGTTATTTGAAATGTTACATATTTAATTGTAACTATCCATAAGTTCTCTGAGAGCTGCAGTATCACCGAATCATATTGTACTGCAAATCCCGTACCCATATCCATGCAATATAGGTTGGCACAATCACTTCTTTCACCTTCAGTGGAGTCTTGAATAGAGCCTCTGTGAAGAATATGTCAGAGTTGTGCCCAATCTTTCAAAAAGAATGTAGCTCTGTCAATTTACATTTTAGTTGCTATTGATTGAATCTACATCCTTTTACTATTCCGTGCATAGAAATATAATTTCAATCGTGTCATTGAACTGGCAGGTACTCATTTATGACTTGCGCTCATCACATCCTATACAGGTTAAGGATCACATGTGAGCGACTTCCTTATAACTTACATGTGAATTTCTTATTATGTGGTTTTTCTGGTTGAGCCCAATGAGGGAGTCTGTTTTTCCTTTTACAACTTTCTGGTTGTTGAGAATACTTTCATTGATTTATAGGTATGGCAGCCCGATATTAGACATTAAGTGGCATCAAACTCTTAATTCTGAGGCGCCAAAGTTAATGACCACTGATAATCACATTGTTAGAATATGGGATCCTGACACGGTAAGACATTATATTTGAGAAGACAATTTTTTTTTGGAAAACAATTGTTTTCTTTGATGATTATATATTAGAATTCTGTATTTATAAATAAATATATGTTACATTTTTCCTTTGTTGCAGGGTGAAGGCATGACCAGCATTGAGCCAACAGCTGGAACAATTAATGATATATGTGCATTTCCTGGGAGTGGATTAATGTTGCTGGCTCTAGACTGTAGTCAGATTCCATCTTATTTCATCCCTGATCTTGGACCTGCACCCAATTGGTGTTCTGAACTCCAAAAACTTACTGTGGGTTTTCAGATGTTATTTACTTACTCCGTATATGGATTTAGTTTCATTTTGTGTGAGGTCGTCAGTTATAGTGCTAATGTTTGACTTCTTTCTACAGGAAGAGCTAGAGGAGGGTGGACAGACAACCATCTATGATGATTTCAAATTTTTGACAAAAGAAGACCTTGAGAGGTTGAAGTTGACTGGTCTCATTGGGACCAATCTCCTTAGAGCCTACATGCATGGGTTTTTTATTGATTATCGGTTGTATAAAAAGGTTAGGCTGCCTTCCTTTGTAGTATAATTATTTTTATGAAGGGTGCAATGGCTGTTTTGTGAAACAAAATAATCCGTATCATCCAGTTTAGAATGGTTGGATTGGTTTCAGAAAGCGGGGAACAATAATCTGTATTAGGCTTTTTACCTTTATTTTATAATTACTTTTCTCTTGCCCTTTCAAGACTCTTATCTGTTTCTATTGTTTTGCGGTTTTTTTTGTTGGTTATGATTGTTTTTTGAAATGTATGGTTTTGGCCGTTTTATGATTTAGTGAGTTCTCGGGCTGGCTGTTTTAGGATTTAGTGAGTTCTTGGGTGTGTTTTTTAAGTTGTCTGTAAGATGCATATCTTCATAGTCAAAGATGATGTTTTCCGTGCTTGAATATGGTATTTGTTCAATTGCTTCTGATTATTTACAAAGTTTGCTGCTTTATTTGATAGTATTTACATTCTGGCAGGCAAAAGCTTTGGCAGAGCCTTTTGATTATTCTGAATACATTGAACAACGTAAAGGAGAGAAGCTAGAGAAAGAACGTGCACAGCGAATTACGGTTAATTATTTTCATCTACATTATTTATTTTTTATATAGAGTTTTTATTTATTTGTTCAATTACTCTGCATTTATCACTATGTGCAGCTCTTAAGAAATTTCTGTTATGACCGAGGCAATTGCAATAAAGTGTATGAGGATTTGTGAGCCTGGATGTTCTAGTTTCCTCAATTCCCCATATTATTTGCATATGCGTATATGTATATATTTATTTTGAGGCAGGGTGGTTTTCGAATAATTGTTGGAAAACTTGGTATTCTCCTCAAAGTAGTTTGACTAGGCATGAGTTGTGTTCTGCCACTTCACCCTATACATTGTAAACATATCTTCTCTCATTTTAGGGTGTCCCTCAAATAAGCTTATTTGAGGGATCTCTCAACTGAAGCTATACAGTTATTATCTCATTACTGTTCGACCAGAGCAAACTTTGACCCTTATCTGCTCCCTTTTTCAGTTTTATTTTTGGTTCAGTTTCCAGAATGTCTGAATTTACGACTCTAGTTCTCCCTGGAGCCCCAAGATATCTCTGAATACTTTTAAATCCAAATTAATCCCCAAGTTATTTTCCTGTACAAAATTTTAACCATCCACATAGAGCATGCTCCTTTGCTTTGAGGTGCTCTCATAAATTTTAAAGAGAACTGACCCTTTTGTATTTCAATGCAATATGAGTGGGATTCAACTGTTAAATTTTGGGGGTTTTTAATCTCCTTTAGGGGATTGCAGGATTGTAGAGTGAATTATATGGCTATGGACTTTAGTTTGTGGTAGATTTATGTCATGTCAGATTATCTTCTTGAGACTGATTACTATATCTTTTATATGCTGTACTTTTCTTTGCTGCAGATTAAGAGGAAATTACCCAAGGTCAATCGGACTCTTGCAAAGAGTATTCTTGATAATGAAGATGCAGAGAATGAAATTAAAGATGCTGATAGCAACGAGACTAAGAAGCTGTCAAAGAAAAAGAAGGCACTTGGTAGTGAAATTCTCAAGGACGAGCGATTCGGAAATATGTTTGAAAATAAGGTATGAAAATCTGAACCTTTGGCTCCTGTACAATTTAACCCAAAAATTTGTTCAAGTAGTTCACCATCCCTTTCTATAAATTTTAATTAAAAAAAAAAAGAAGAAGAAATAAACACAAAAGAATTCTTCATCCCTCTCCTCCCCTCCCCCTTCCACCTCCTTTGCCTCCCTTTCCTCCCTTCTGTCTCCTTTCCCTGGTAATGGCCTCTTTTTACCCAACTCTCTCTAAAGAGTTTGTTCATTTATGTGATTATAGCATGAAATCCGCTGGATGTTTGTTGAGCTTATTACTAGTTACAACATAAAGAGCCTATGCATTTAAGTGTCAGTAATGTCTTCTGATGGTGGTTTGATGCTAAAAGAAAAAAATGCATCTTCCCCGTTGCCTCCCCATTATTGAAGCCGGTCATCTCCATCCGACACCTATCCTTGTCCCCAATACCTTCATGTTCTTGATTATTATCAGAAGATTCTAAGGGTCTCGAAACTCCTAAGTGACATCGATGGAACCTGTCATCCTTTCTGGTTGTTGAATGGGTCACCCATCAGTGGACTGATTCATTGCTGTTCTTTCCTTGCCATGTGTTCTTCCCATACATTCCAATGCTTTCAATGGCATGGTGGATGTGAGGCATTTTGTTACCTCACAGCCGAGTAAATCTCAAGTCATTGATGTGTAAGCTGTTTGACACTTAAAATATTTTGAATTATAAATGTATAAATATATTTAACAAATAGAAGAGGACCACTGTTCAAGTGCAGAATGTGCAAAAATGCATTGGCTGACTTGCTGGTCAATCGGCAACCACATTTTTTTGTGAGGATATATGAATTGGAGATTCCTTATTATGTCACTTTCCCCCAGTTTTGGTAGGAGTTTCTTGTCGCATAATGCATCCATAACTTGTATGTCTGTCATGTAACTCTAGTTCCCTTTATAGCTGATAATGACGGCTAAAGTCCTTTGCTAGGTAAAATTTTTTGCTTGGACTGTTGTCCATGGTATAGTTAAAATCCTTGCAAGTCCTACAATGGAAAAAGGGCTTGCATCTGTCTCTTATTCGCCATTGGTGCAACATGTGTAAAGTGCAAGCGAAGTATTGATCACATTTTTTCCTTCCAAGTTCTATGCGTTGAGACCGTTGAGCCTGTTTTATAAGCTCTTTAGGTAGCTAGATTGAGTTGGGTGGTTCCTCTAGTTGGGTGGTTCCTCTTCTTGTGACCATTCATGGAGGGGTTTGGTGGAGGGAAAAACGCAAAGGTTTTGTCGTGTTAAAGAAATTCTGCTGGGTTTTTTGGTTGGGAACGAACAGTTAAATTTTCAGGAGTAAAGAAGGGAAGGCAGTAGACTACTTGTATGTGACTATGGCCAGATTGTGGGCCTGACTTTATGCTTCTGCGTCTTTTGAAGTGAGAGACTATTCTTTCTTCCTTCTGAATTTGGGTTAGGAAGCAGCTATCTTATGACTCTGTTTGGTTGTGTTGCATTATCGCTTGCTTGGCTGGCTGGTTGTTTTGCTGGTTAGCTCATTGTTTTTCAGGCTTCCACTGCTGAAACTGTTTCAGTGCTTTTTAGTTTAGGGGACTGCGGAGTCATTTTCTGTATTAGCTCCATTTCTGTTTATTACATCTTATTAGTTTCCTACAAAATGAAAATAAATAAATAAATAATGAGAAGTCGGGGCCGAATCGTGTTTTATTTATTTTTTGTTTTGAACAGTTTTTTATAATGATTCATTTTTGTGATTTGTGTTCAGGATTATCAAATTGATGAGTTTTCGCAAGAGTATGTGGCTTTACACCCTATGCCTTCTAAGAAGCAACCATCGTTGGTGGATGAACATTTCAGACCTGCCATGGAGGATGAATATCAGAACTTAAGTGATTCTGATGCCTCCACAACATCTTTGTCATCAGAGGAACCGGGCCATGAAAAGAGTAAAATGAGAAAGAGAGGACGAACTCCAAGGTAAAGATTTCTGGTTCCTTTGCCGACACTCTATTGTCCTGTTTATTTATCTGTTACAACTTACATTACTTCCATGTCCCTGAGTTTTCGTGGAAGTTCAAGTATCTCCCTCTCATGTTTAGAAGTTATACTATCCTGTCCCCTATAAGGAGATTTCACAATACATTTTAGTGTTGAGGGAAATTTCACTTCAGGAGTGGGTTTCGATCATACAAGTGTTTGCTTTTGGGGTAGAAATATCAGTTGATCTGTAAAAGTTTTCCGAGTGTCCATGACAACTAGATTAAAGTTATTGGTTTGCCTGATAAACCTTTTGAGCTCAGTTACCAATATAGGAGTCTAAAAGACAAAAAATGTGAACATAAGACAATAAAAAACTGTATTAAAGAAAATTGTATGTTCTCTATGAGAGGGGAGGTCAGTGTAATTCCAGAAAATAGAATATTGAAAACTGAAGGGATGTCTGGGAATTTTGAATAAAACCTTAGGAGGTCAGCATAATCTACTCTGATCAATTAATGGATCTGTCAGACATGAGCAACTTTTGCTAGATTTGGTGATTTGAACGCCAACCTGATTTGTCTATTTTCCGGTGAACTGTTGCTCTGTAATTCTGCGTGTTTATGTATAGAGTTTTGATTCAAATCTTGAAATGTCTGTTCGAGCTTAAAACTCTAAATCTGAGTTACTAAATCTCTGTTTATTGAAATCCTATTAGATTGTATGAAGTCAAGGATGAGCGGCATGCAGAAGCGTTCTTAAATCGTGAGTCATTTGCGAAGGAGGAATTACTTCCATTGGGCGAGCGGGTAGCAGCTCTCAGAGATGATTGGCAGGTTTCTGCTATCCCAAGTGATGTTAAGCTGGGACCCGGAGGTTCACGTGAGATTTCCTTTAGAGCTAGAAGCTCTGCCAAGTACAAAGAGGACGAGGACGATGAAGCACAGCGTGGAAAGAGGAGGGGAGTTCAATCATTAGGACTAAAACAAAATAATAACGGATTCGGAAGTCGAGGGAGAGGAGGCAGGGGAGGTAGAGGAGGCAGAGGAGGGAGAGGCGGCAGAGGGAGAGGAGGGCATCGCGGGAGAGGTAGAAGTGGTGGCTGGTAAATTATTCCCAATCCATTTACGCATGGATCACTTTGTTTATTGTCTTCTATCTTTGGCCCCTCCATTGACAGTTCAACCAAAGATGTTTTCAATACAGAGCGATAGTCGAGTGCATTTAAACAACTTAATGATCCAGGGGAGGATTTATGTTGAGTTGCGCCATTTTTGTTGTCGTTTTTTTTAACCGGCCTTTATACAGAGTGACGTTCTCCTTTTTGTTGTTGAGATAGTAAATTGAGGGTAGGGGAAGCTACAATGAGGTACAACGGCTATTTAGCGTCTTGCAGAATGCAGAGGAAATGAAGCTGTATATTGGAATTGTATTTTATATTATATTATCAACTTAACTTATTCAAAATATTGTAAACTGATAGTGGGCAACAGTACTGACGTTAACCAGAACCTGGAATTGGGTTATGGTTCTTTTCTGTTTATCATTTCAACTAGTCCCCTTATGACCAGGGAAAACAATGGTCACCTACTGTTAGATTTAAGGGAGTTTCACTAAAACACTAAAAATGGGAGCGGAAATTATAAAAAAACCCAACACCCAAAACACTTTATAAACACACCCAAAACTCATAATTAAACACACTCAAAATCCCTTTATAAACACACCCAAAAAATATATAATTATTGACTTTAAGGTTGATTTTGGGTGTGTTTCTATGTTTAAATAGTGTTTGAGTTTTTTTTATAAATTTGTATAGATTTAATCCTTCGGTGACTTCTGAGCAGTGCCTCAATATAAGAAAACTAATGCCCAAAAAACAATTAAGGAGATGTTTGGTATTGCATTCAAGTAAGGAATTCAATGATTTTTATTTTTCTTTAACACAAGGAGTTCTAAAATTCTTTCGTTAAGATTCCTTTTTTTTTTTTTTTTTTTTTTTTGGATTAAGCGTTAAGATTCCTTTTTGGTATTTTATTTGAATACAAAACTTCTGAACTCAAAAACATAGTTTGGGTCCAAAGCCAAAATAATCTTCTATATGTAGGCCCAATTAATATATATATATATATATATATATATATATCAATTTTTTTATTTGTTTTTTTTTTTCTTGAACTTCTGGTTGCTTCTTTATAAGTCGAAGAAATTTCATCTTTAATAAATGGAAGTGCATATTCCACAATATCAATATATCGAGCAGGCTTTCAAATCCCTTTTTTCGGTCTACTAGTTGCAATAGTATTTTGTTGCTATGAAGGCTCTTAGGTAAATGCATCATCTTCATTATTCTTGTTCTCATCATCAAAATTAACTGTAAGACTAGTGTCTGAATCATCAGACCTCACTGGAACAACTGGAGGTTTCAATAACTCCACATGTTTTGAACCACTCATGGTCTTGGTCGCGTCACTTTCAGTGTCATTATTGTTCAAACCTCACTACAACAAATTGCTTCATATCTAGACATCAAAGTCTGTATCCCTTCACCCTAGTGCTAAAGCCCATAAATAAAGCTTTATGTGCTCTCAAATCTAACTTGTTTTCCCTGACATGAAAGTAAGCAGGATTCATAATCAGTACAAGGTTTACTAGACCATAGGCATTTTGTCCTCATTCGCAACAGTAGGCAACCGATTAGTGAGATGACTTGCATAAGTAACTGCCTGAGCCCAAAAAGCTTTGCCTAAACCAGCATTAGACAACATACATCGCACTTTCTGAAGCAAAGTATGATTCATGCACTCTGCCACCTTATTATGTTGCAGTGTTTCCTTAACCGTGAAATGCCTCACAATACCCTCATCTTGAAAAACTTTAAAAAAAGGATCATACCTATACTCACCGCCATTTTCACATATGAGAGTCTTCATCTTTCAACCACTTTGAGTTTCAATCATCTTTTTCCACATCAGGAATATCTTCAAGGCTTCATCCCTAGGTTTCATGGAGTTCACCCATACTCTTCTAGAGAAGTCATCAACACCCTGCACCTCCCATCTATGCACCCAAAACACAACCCACACCCATCTATAGCCACCGACACCTCTTGCTTGATTCATATTAGCACTTGTTGCTTGTTGGTATCACCTCATGTTTCCTTGAGTAGCTTGTCTCAGCCATTAGCAGCCATTAGAGTTCAATTTTCATTTGACTTCTAACACTTGAAAGCCATCTCATACATTAAGTGTCTAAATCAGAACCACATGTTTTAGCTACATAGCAACTCCTTGTTTTTCTGTACAAATATTATAGTTATAATGAAAACACAGCTCTAGGTTGCTAGGAAAGGAAGAACTGAAGCTAAGAAGCTCGAAGATTGCTTTCTTCATTAAGAAGATATTGAAGTGTTCGAAGACTATAGACTCAGCTTGTTGTTTCAGTTAAGTTTCTATTATGGTTCTAGCTTTGTTCCTCCCATCAATCCAAGTGTTTGAACTTCCTTGGTATTGAACATTTCTATTTGATCTTTGTGATATGAAAGCCTTGTTTAATACCCCCAATTCAGATATGTTTGCCTTCATTTGATTGTTAAAGGAACTCTAGTGAACATTGAATAGCATCTGAACTTGTGGTTGATTCATACCATCTAAATTACAATGTTTGTGCCTTCTTTTAAAAAAGTCAGGACCTCTGGCCAGTTGGTAATAAGACCGATGAGGCCACCGTGGGAATATGGCCTCATTGGAACCCCTAATGAGTATTACAGAAGCTGTCTCATTGATATTGTTTCTCTAATTCTGACCATGAAATGTATCTCAGCCCTTGAATTGTTCAGTTTTGTTTTGTGTACTCTTTTTAGTCGCATCTTCAAATATTGTATAGTTGTGATCCTCATACTCATTAGTGGCCATATATAGTTACTTACTGAGCTTTGTAGCCCACCCTTTCTTCTTCCATTTCAAATTAGCTTGGAATAGAAGATTGGTTCATTTGTGATGTATTGCTGCACTAATGAAGATGTGTTTGATTTGGGAGACTTTAGATTATAATGTTGTACTATTGGATACACTATGTAGAAATGGAAGTGTATATGTTTAGTTTTGCTAACCTTGTAAATCCTAGTAGTTCAAATTGAGCAATGTAATAAGATAAATCTAGTTGTTCTTTTAGTTAATTTGGTGTGAATTTGGGGTGTGACATAAATAATCAACACCTTGAATTTCAGATAAATTCATTGTCATCTAGTAAAGGTTATCCAAAAGCACAATATCTCTTTATCCTCTTCCACAAAATAATGTTTATCGGTTACTGGCCATGCATTTCTAAATATGTTGTTTGCCTTAGGAGAAGAAATAGGACCATGCACACTTGTGTGAACAGTATTCTGGCCTCTCCTCTGTTGGATCAAATTGGTACTGAAGTTTGCTTAAGGCCAAGTAACATGCCCTGGACTGATCCAACTATTTTTTTTTTAATAGATGTGCCTCTATTGGAACTTAGCTAAGCCCAATAGAAAATATGATTGAGTAATTAGTTATCAAGCTTTAATGATTTGCGCTTAAATATCTTAACTTCTAATCAAGCCATTGTGCTTTGAGTGGGGAACTGCCTTAAATTAGTTCTTTTAATTGCTTGTATGACTAAGGACTTCAAAATTCTATTTGTACGCGCTGGTGCACATGAGTTCCTTAAGGTTTTGCCCTAGATCAGGCTAAAAACATCAAGATAGGGCTAAGAAACCCTAGATCAGACTAAAAAAGTTGATAGTTGATTCTAGTGTTTTATGGTTTGATATTGACTGAAACAAGTGAAAAATGATAAATGAACACTTTATAAACTTAAATGCAATAAAAAAGAAATCTTTAGAACTGAATATTTCTCGATTTAATTCATTACAATAAGAATTGAAAGGGAAACAAACTGTTAAATGGATAAACTAGTTTACTAATGAACTGGTACAAGAAAAATAAAAAATCCTAGCAACTAGGACATCGATATCAAGTGTTGACAGAGCAATAAACTTAAAAGATAACTTAGGAGTTGTCAACCAAATATCTTAATACAGAGGAAAGTAATTGAGTTCAATGAGATCAAGTGTTGATTAAGTGTGAAGTCTTTTTCTGGGAGAATATTTGTGTCTTTTGAGAGTTGGATTCTTTTTCTATTTACAGGCTCCTTGGTTCTTGAATTCTCACACTTGATGAGGAGACGATTGAGTTTGTTGTCAGTATTTTCTTTGCGGGTTAAACAAGTGAACTTGAGTGCTTTGATCCTTGCATTGACGGTGAACTGCCCAAGTGTTGAGGCCTAAAAAATCATGGGAAGCCCAAAGACATTTAAAGCCCAATATAACATATAATGTCGGTCATGCATTAATCTAAGCTGTATTTTGGGATTTAATTCCTTAGATATATATAGAAATAGTGCACATGCCATGCCAAACTAATAATACATTTTTCTCCTGCCAATCACCTATCAAGCTCATATGAACCCAAGTCATGTGGTTTACGGGGCTTGCATGAGGGATTGTGGTGTGGAAGGTTACGGAGGTCCACAAGGCCCACGGAAACTCTTGGATAATGGAGACTTTGGACTAGCTACTTGGGAGCACCAAAGTCCAAATCCATTACTTAGAGTTCTCCAATGTGGATGAGCAAATGAGATATTTTTCAAGCACTTCCTTTTACTCATAGGAAATAGTCATTTTCCAAATACCTAGCTTTACCCGTTGGAAACAAGCCTTTTCCAGCACTTCCTATTACCCACTGGAAACAAGCAGTTTCTAGTGCTTCCTTTTACCCATATGAAATAATCAGTTTATGGTACCTAGCTTTACCTGCTGGAAAATAACATGCCCCCTTTCTCCCTTTAACCACTGGAAAAAGGTTGGTTCCAACACCTCCTTTTACCTATTGGAAATAAAGAAAAACCATCACTCTCTATAAGTTGGCATTCATGGATCAAGCAAAGGGCACCAATTTTCTTCAGCCAACACTCCCTCACTCGGCTGTTGCAAGCATCCCAACAGCCATCAATCTCCTCCAGCAACCACCAGACCACTTGCCTTTCTCCATTCAGTTGCTGCAAGCATTCCAGCAGCCATCCTAGCCATTCCTTAGCTGTCACAACCATTTCTTCTATTTTCCCATCCTTGAAATCCTCAATTTTCCCTATAAAGCCTCACAAATCATAACTTCAAGTTTTTCCTTCCTTTTCATACCCTTCCAAGCTATAAACACCATAGCTTTCAAGCCTCAAGCTTTTCCTTTTATCCTCCCACCTCTAGAACTCATAAATTTCTCTAGAATCATTGTCATAAACACCATACCCTTCAAAGTCTTAAGCTTTTCTTTCCTCAGCCATGCTCTTTGAAACCCCATTCATTTGACTGCTATAAGCATCACAACAACCATCACAGCCAAACAATCGAACCATCATAGCCATAGCTTCAAACAATAAATTCTCAACACCCAAACTCAAGCATATCAAACACCAACTCAAGCACAAGCATTCTCATTTGCTAAACTTGTGGGTCTTTAGCTCCCACACTCCAAGCTCTCATT